CTCCTTGAGTCCAGCGTGTCATGGCAACGTCGATCTCCATCGATCTCCAAAAATAGACTTCCCCCATCACCCACTCGCCAAATATTCCCAAGTGAGCAACAGGTGATCTATAATCACTACCAACACCACGTGATCCTGCGCTGCACCTATCCACAACACTGTTCAACAAGTCTCTCGATTAGTATGTGAGGTTGGATTGTATTAAAGGCTGAGGACAAATCCACAAACAGAAGTCTGACATGTGTCCCATTAGATTCTAGGTGTTTAAACAGAAGGTTGAGCAGAGTGAGTGTTGCATCCTCTACCCCTCTGTGAGGCCTGTAAACAAACTGCATGGGATCTAGAAGATGCTGAGTCTGCTTTAGAATCTCATCTGATTAGTCTTTTAAATATCTTCATCAAAACTGAGGTCAAAGCTACTGGTCTAAAATCACCAACAGTTATGGGATGATTGCATTTAGGGACAGGAACCACAACAGCATCTTTCCAGATGTTAGGGACATGTTGTGTTTGCAGAGACTTGTTATAAATACAATGAAAAGCAGGACTCAGCTCAGTGGCACAAAATTTTACAGAACGACCACAAACATTATCAGGACCGTGACTTTCGCTCACTTTTACACACTGAAAGGCTTTTTAACATCTTGGAGGCTCATGTTAGAGTGCTGTGTGTCTTTCAGATTATGCTCTAAATTCTGGATTACTTTGTGAAAATCACAGGTATCAAAACGACAATAAAATGAATTTAGAGCGTTTGCAAGTTCGAAATCTGAATTAAAACCGTCTACGGGTGTTTTGTGGCTTCTGAAGGCCTGCAGTAGTTTTCATACTAGCCCATGCTGAGCCAAGTTTATTTGTGGCCATTTTCTTTTCCAGTTCAGATTTGTACTTTTGTTTTGCTTTTGAAATTTCTACCTTTAGTTATTTTCTGGCTAAATGCTGGTCAAAGACTGTTCCCTGTTTAAAAGCAATTGATTTTTTTATATAAACAGGACTTAACTGATTTAGTAACACATGGTCTGTTAGGATATATTTTTACTCACACAAGAACATGTGACATCCACTATAATGAGTCTAAATAAACAACACAGGATTGTTTCAAAAGTTCTCAGTCCGTACACCTAAAACATTCCTGCAGAGAGAGGACTGATTCCTCTGTCCACACTTTTATGTCCTTGATCTCAGGTTTGTCTCTCTTCACAACAGTTTTGTAAATGGGAAGCAGGTGTACCCAGCTGTGGTCAGCAGATCCCAATGGAGGGAGCTGGACAGCTTGAAAAGCAGCCTTCACTGAACCGTAGCATAAATCCAGTGTCTTATCACATCGTGTTGTGCAGGAAACGTACTGATAAAATTTTCTCAACGTTTTTTTTAAGAGAAACATGATTAAAATCACCTAAAACAAAGTTTGGTGCGTCAGGTGAGATGGACTGCTGCTTCTGCACAATATCAAAAATTGTGTTGGAGGCAGAGGTCGGGTCTGTCTTCGGATGAATGTACACGATTGTGATAAAGATTTGGGGGAACTCAGGGGGATAAACAGGCCGTAGAGACACTGATAAAAGTTCAACGTGAGGCGTGCAAATACGCTCTCTAATAGTCGCAGCAGTACAGTAATGTCTGTTAACAGACAGACTCCTCCTCCCTGAGTTTGACCCGTTACCTCCGCCTGTCGGTCCGGTCCAAGTGGAGCCCCGAAGCCGTCTATGGACAGATCCGAGTCCGAGTCCCGCTCTGTGAGCCACGTTTCACTGAGAGCCAAAACGCAGCAGTCTTTAAAATCCTTTTTGTAGCAGACACAGCCTTGAAGTTCATCGAGTTTATTCCTGAGGGACCGCACACTTGCCAAGATGAGAGAAGGAAGAGGGATGCGCTCAACGCGTTGTCTCCTCAGCCGAAGTCTGAGCCCCGCCCGTCTTCCCCGCTTTCTTTTACTCACACCTTTAGTAAACCTTGTTCTGTTAAGATTTCTCCGAATGAGATCCGGCGGTATTTGTGCGTTGAGGTCTGACACTTGAGCTAAAGTGGCAACATTTAGCTGTAAAAGTGTGTCTCTTGAGTACTGGATCCTGACATCACGAACAATACTCGTAGATTCGCCGGCACACAGGTGATTCACCAGCTGTGAATCATTAATATAACAACCAAGAATACTTATTAATTTCTGTATGCTCTGACAAACAAATGGGGCTCTGCAAAACCAAAAAAACAACACATTTGAACAAATAACATACGTGACTTCCATAAGTGAAGTGTGAGTCCATCTTCAAAGTAGTGAGGAGAGTCCCTGGAGTTCCAGGGGGCTCCTCGCGGTGCTGCCCTTCGTCTCCCATCCGTCATGGCAGCGCCCATGAAGGAAGCGCTCCTGTTCCCAGATCACCGGTCATCCGTCATACTCATACTTGTCAGAGGAATCAGAAAGTAATCCAAAAAGTTACTTGGTGTCGTCATTGCGTCTGAACGCCTTGAGCTTCTCCTGAATGTGTTTCACTCGTGTTTCACGGGTCCAAAGTGAAGTTCCGCTCGCTCCTTCCCAGGAGGAGGCTCTCAGGTTGGGTCGGGAGGGATGCTCTGCTGATGTGTCCACCGCTTCCAACACGTCCCTCTTCCTCAGGTCATCAGCTGCGTCCTGCGCACTGTTGTAAATCACAGGGCCGCTCTCATAAAACACTCGACGTCTGGACGGATTCATAGTCTGAAAGCGAATGCCTCCCTCTTTTAAGATCTTCCTGATGGGATTATATACCTTACGTTTAGCGAGGATGTCACTGGGGTAGTCTTGGTCAAAAAACACCCGTCTGCCTTTCAGCTGTATCATTTTCTTACCCCATGCACAGCGAAGTACACGCTCCTTCGTAGTATACTCCAGAAAATGTATCACTATAGATCTGGGGCTGGAGTTGGGTGAGGGTCTGGGGCTGAGTGAGCGGTGGCAGCGCTGTATGCCCAGCGTGATGTCAGTGAGGGAGAGTTCAGTTTTTATAAAATTCTCTACAAATTTCTGCAAATTATCACCTTCTTCTCCCTCTGTGATCCCGTGGATACTATGTTAATCTGCGTGAGCGGGCTTCCAGGTCGGTTAAACGTGTTTGGAGGTCTTCTTCTAACCTGAGAGTGTGAATCAGCACCTCTTTGACATCCGTGTTGAATTGCTCCGCTTCAGTTATTTGCTGCTCAGCCTCCTCGACTCTGTCCTTCACGTCTCTCAGATCCACAACGATGTCATCAAGCCGTTTCCACATTTCTCTTCTAAATTCAGACATTTCCTTTTTTATGAGTTCTGTCTGGTCCGCGATTTCTTTTTTGAGATTTGTCTGAATTTCTTTCAGCTCTGCAAGAATATTGGCTCCCAAAGCTTCCATAGCGTAGTTTGCTGTCCTCTGTGACCTCCTTCAATGAAAAAACTGTTTCTTTCTTGTTTTCCTGCTGATTTCCTTTTGCTTTTCTACTATTACTCCTTGTCATACTAATAAATATTGAAAACAAGGTTTTAGTAAGTTAATTGTCAAGGAGTAACAAGACCGTCTGGGAGCTCGGAAATTAAGCTGTCACTCGCTTCTCCGTCGTTCCGGAAGTCACATACATAATGATTTATTCAACCTTTTATTTATACAGGCTGGCCTCATTGAGCCACAAGGACTCATTTACAAGAGACCTGCTCCAGACAGAACATGGAAAGTACAGACAAGAATAACAGTAAACCATGACAATGATAAACATATCGGTGACTGTGAGTTTTCCAAAACCTGTCATAAGAATCTAAAAAATTTAAATCTGGTCCTCTGGACATTTAAAAAACAAAACAAAACAAACAAACAAAAAAATGTAGATATGTTTTGTCTTCCATCCGAAAGACTTCCTCAGTCTGAGGTGCTGTATTCAGCTCAGTCTTATAAACAGCACCCTCTCAGAGTGGATCAACTAGTGTTGCTGCTGACACTGGCCAAAAGGATAGACCAGCACAGAAGATCAACATCTTCAGGCCAGGACTCTGCGGTCTACACTCATCTCCAGGCCAGCGGTCACTCTTTCAGGGATGAAGATGTTCACATCCTGGACAGAGAGGAACGATGGTTTGAGAGAGGAGTCAAGGAGGCCATCTTTGTGAAAAGAAATCATTCATCATTAAACAGGGGTGGAGGCCTCCGGGTTCAACTGTCCCCCTCTTACAATGCTGTGATTGCTAGTATCACTCAGCCCTCTGTGAACAGTAAACAGCCATCAGTGTGCTAATGATCCATTGTTAGGCTGATGGTCCTTCACAACCAAAACCAGCTGCTCAAGCTGGTTTTGGTTGTCAGCAGCAAAACTGGTTGATCCACTCTGAGAAGGTGCTATTTAAGAGACTGAGCTGAATACAGCACTTCAGACTGAGGAAGTCTTTCGGATGAAAAACGAAACGTTTCTATATTTTTTTGTTTGTTTTGCTTTGTTTTGTTTTTTTGAATGTCCAGAGGACCAGATTTTAATTTTTTAGATTTTTCTACCTGGATTATTGAGCATGCATCAGGATATTGTCATAAGAATATTTTATTAGTGTTAATGTTAACCCCACCAAGAATATTTAAAAACACCGAACCATGGGTTCAGCTGTACGCCTAAGATTTACAGAGGAAAAAAAATCCGAGAATGAGTTTAGTATTCAGCTATGACTGATTAAACGCGCAGATACTTCATTGCTCCTGACAAACAGGTTACACTGAGTGGAGCGGTCACCGTATGATTTATATGGGGGCGCTGTGGCGCCACATTTACTTTTTAAAGCAATGTCCCATAGTTACCGACAGGGGGCGCTGTGGCGCCACATTTACTTTT